GCGCACGCGTGGGGGGAGGGGAGGGGGGAATCGGCCATCAGGTGGAAGCAAGAAAAGAGAAGCTAAATCCTAAAGTACACCAATACTACTCTGCAATCCATATTTTACACCTCCACACTTTCATATTCAATGTCATTCCCCCGAAAAGAGTTAACTCTTTCAAGTCTGACATAACACTATCTTACCACTTCTTTATCGGCCGAGCTCTCCTCCTTGCACCATGGACTGAGATTGTCTCCACTCACCTTGTAGCATCCAGTTCTATGATGTTTCTGATATTAGGATAGCACACCGTAATTTGATCGAATAAATGTCTTGGGCTTCAAGGGAATAGAGTTTAGACCATATTGGATGATGATAATGTTGGTTAAGTGAATTAAGCCCTTGAATTGTGTAACCACTGTGTTTCCCACTAAGCATTAATAAGATGTGTAATTGTGTAACGTCCCAAAAATAAGACTAAAAATTTCGATTTTTAGATTCATAAAACCATTTTCCAAAACATCATAGAAACCATAGAAAATCAGAGTGTATCAATAAACATCCAAGTGCATCAAAGTAATACAAAATGCGGAACAATGTGGTGTGTGCACTGCAATCATCCCGGGCTCTTCCCTTTCAAACCAGAGGTACCTGAAACATAAACTGAAAATCGTAAGCACAAAGCTTAGTGAGTTCCCCAAAATACCACATATCAAACATATAATGGGCCCTGCCCAGCATCGAGCCCCGCTCGGAACAGATCTGTCAGTCATCAGGCCCGTCTGGCATTGGGCCCCGCCCGGTATACACACAAACATATAAACACATGCATAAAAAGCACAAAGATAAATAACATATATTATAATCATCGGGCCCTTCTCGGTAAACATATAAACTCATAACACATGCAAGAGTCACGCAGACAGCTAGCATCCTACACATAATAAACCATGGGCCGACATTGGTGCCTTCTACCCGCTAAACACAATGAGGAAACTCACCTCAAGCTGCAAAATCACTCAGATAAAATCTCAGTCTGCTGGTCCAGAAAATCCCCATGCTAACATCATCAAATAAATATCCAATTAATAATTGGATCTCGACCCATAATCAAGAATCTAAGTTACTTGTCCAATATCTTGGGTAAAAGACCATTTTACCCTTTTTTCTTACTTGGCCCAAAACTAAGGCCCAACCCATTGCTCAAAAGGCCTAAATTCCTAAATGACATCTCAAGGCCCAATAAGGCCCAACTTCCAAATTGGGCCCAAAATCCTCATGGACCTAAACCCAAGAAAGTCCATAGTCTATCCATGGCCCAAAGTAAGAGGTACAATGGCCCAACTAGGCCTAAACCCTAAAAGCGCAAAATATGGGCCAAACCCGAGGAAGTTTTCCCAAAAGTCAAACAGTTGAGTATGTTGGGCGTACTCAGGCTTACGCTTGGCGTACTCCATCCATGACTAGTACGCGCAACGTACAAGCTGTGTACACCCTGCGTACTCCGCAGGCAACCAAACCAATCCATTTAGCACTTAATCGGCTAAGCCAACATGCCAAACTCTCTGATCTGATTCTAGAAGGTGAGTTAACGTGTAAAGTTGGCAACTTTACCACCATGCATGACTTATTAAGACCCAAAACTCAAAAGAAACCATATTAAGAATCCTAACACTTTCATGGACAAAACTAACCCATAAAGGTTGCATTTTTATGGACAAAGGACTTCAAATGAGCAAAGATCTAACATCCATAGCTTATGGAGTAGACCATAACTTCATATATGACTTAAAAGACCCAAAATGCATAAATAACACCACAAAATGGATCTATCATAAAGGACCATCAAGATGAGAGCTTTTTACCTCAAAAGGCTTGGTAAGGTGAAGATAACTCTGGATCTACAAGCTCAAGCTACTCCCAAGCAACCTCCAAGTGTTCATCTTCTTCTTCTTCACCACAAAACACCAACAAACTCACTTTCAAGCTCAAATCTCACCAAATACACTTAGGGTTTCAATATTAGGGCATATGGTGATGGAGCTTGATCAATAAAATGTCCAAAGGTGTTAGAAGTTGTTTAAATAGGGTGTAAACCCTAAAAATTAGGGCTTGCCCCTGAACCACGTACGCCATGTGTACTCCTATGTACGCCCCACGTACATAGGTGAACCCGCGATCTGGAAATGAGCTTGTACGCTAAGCGTACTAAGAGTACGTCCTATGTACTAGCTAGGGACTAAAATGAGGTGATTTTTGTCTTAAAGGGGCTATAGGAAACATACCAAATTCTCGAGTGTTACAATTCTCCCCCACTTGAATCAAAATTTGTCCTCGAAGTTTGTTGCCCCCAAACAACTCTGGGTAGTGCTCCCTCATCTCGTCCTCCAGATCCCACGTCCATTTTGAACCCTTGCGGTGTTGCCACTGAACTTTCACCAACTCAACAACCTTGTTCCTCAAGGTTTTCGTCTTCCAGTCAAGAATCGCCACTGGTTTCTCGATATAATTCAAGATATCATCCACCTGAATGTCCTTGAATGGAACCACCGCGGAATCATCCACTAAACATTTCTACAGCTGAGAGACATGAAACGTGCTATGGATCTGACTAAGCTCCTCGGGAAGATTCAAGTGATAAGCAGCCCGGCCCACCTGGGCCAAAGAACTGAAAGGACCAATATACATGGGGCCCAACTTGCCCCTCTTTCTGAATCGAATGACACCTTTCAAGGCGAAACCTTCAGTAGAATCATATCCCCAACCTGGAACTCTAGATCTGATCGGCGTTTGTCAGCATAGCTATTCTGTCGAATCTAAGCTGTCGGAAGTTTACTCCGAACCTGTTGAATCAGCTCGGTAGTCTTGAGTACCACTTCAGTATTCCCCATAACTCGCTGACGAACCTCACCCCAACATATCGGGGTCCTGCATTTCCTCCCATAAAGCATCTTAAAAGGAGGTCGATCAATGTTGGCATGATAACTGTTGTTATACTAAAATTCCGCTAACGGAAGATACGTATCCCAACTCCCACCAAAATCCAAAACACACGCCCGAAGCATATCCTCCAAGGTCCAGATAGTCCGCTCACTCTGTCCGTCAGTCTGAGGTGGAAAGTTGTGCTGAAATGCAGACGAGTACCCAACTCCTCATGGAACCTCTTCCAAAATCTGGAATTAAATCGGACATCCCTATCTAAAACCACAAAAACTGGCACCCCATGTCGTGCCACAACCTCCCTGATGTATTGTTGGGTTTTAGTATACTACAACATCCTATGGTGCACATACAACCCTAAATACCTTGGATCTATGT